ATGTAGACATCTGACAAAAGAGCTTTCCAGGCAGAGAACATCAAGTGCAAAGGTCCTGAGGTGGCGGCAGCATTGGATATTGGAGAGGCAGCTGAGAGGCTGGTGAAGCTACAGAGAAGTAAAGGAGGGAAAAGTGGTAGGAGATGATGTCAGAAAGTCTCTGAGGACTTAGTAAGGATGTGGCTTTTCCTCTAGTGAGCTAGAAAGCCGTGGCAGATTTTTGAGCAGAGGAATTACAGGATCTGACTTAGAATGGCTTCTGCGTGGAGAACAGACTCTAGGTGCTGAAAGAGCAAACATCCAGGTGAGGGAAGAGAGTGAGGTACTAGTTGAGGAAGTGGGGAGAAGTAGATCCTGAAAATAAAAGGTCAAGACAATGGGATTTACTGATGGCTTAGATGTGGAGTGTGGGGTGACTTCGAGATTTTGACCTTGAGGAATTCAAGAATGGAGTTTTTATTTAAAGGAGCTCGTTTTGGGAAAGAAAACCAGAAGTTAAGTCTTGGCATTATTAAGTTTGAGATGCCTGTTAAACTGACAAATCAAAAACTTTGGAGAGATTGCTGAAATCTTTGAAATGAAAGGGTTTATTGAGCCTTAACAGATGCAGCCAGAATAAGTCCTGGGATAGGCAGTTTCTGCTTCACCAGCAGCATGGCCACTTCACAGACACAACTTGTCTACCAGATTCAAGAAACAGGGCACATTTATGAGGGGTCTCAAGGAAAGAAAGTTTTTTAAATTCACATTGGCTACAGATAAGGAAGGCAGGCTAATGTGAAACGCGCAAAATCCTGGGATAAGTGGTTAGTCCATAGAGAAAGCTCGTAGATTGGTTGTTGATGATGGTCAGACACTGGTCACATGCAAGGGGGATGCAGTGGTCCTGGGGACCTTCTAGATGTTGCAGAAACAACTTCATTCAGGAACGTGGAGTTTCTGGTTAGTTACAGCCCACAGCTATTGACCAATGACCTTCCCCTGTCTCTCTCCCTCATTCTCTGGCCCTTATGTCACTTAATTTAAGGACATTTCAGAACTTTTGCCTTGTCAAGATATTCACAGGGAGGACAGCAGCAGGTAGTGGGTTCCCCACAGCTGAATTTCCAGAAAGAAATCAGAGCTACAGACACCAACTCAGACGTCATCAGCACCAAGCTAGTTTTTACAGCCACAGGGCTAAGCAAGGTCATCTAGAGCATCAGAGTAGCTCTCTCCTTCACAGGAGTGTGAAGGTGAAAAGATATTGTATGAAAAATACTTGTGTAAACTGTGAAGTGTTATACACATGGAAAGCACAAAGTGCATGAATATGGTATAGAGCAAATTTAAAGGCATATCTACAGGAAGTTAGAACCATGGAATGGGTGTGAAAGGAAGATCCTGGGAACCAGCTGATCAACCCTCTCATTTTATCCATGCCTAACTGAGGTCAGAGAGGTTAAGAGCTCGTGCAAGCACCCTCAGCTCATCAGTGGGCTAAGCCGGTCTTGGAACTGAGAAGCCTGAACTGCTGGTGCCATGCTCTTTCTGCCACATGATGCACCTGCTCACATTTACTGATTCAGCTCTCTCTGAATCTGTTAACCAGCGCCAAGTAATTCTTCCAAAAGAGAAATCTAATTATATCGCCTGGTACTTTCAGTCATCCTATTTCCTCTGCCTGGAATTTTCTGTCTCCTCCCGCTTCTGTCTGGCAAATCGCTGCCCTATCTCCATTCCCAGCTAGAAGGACCCTTTGCTGTGGAGTCTCCCTTGCCCTGCCAGGTAGAGCTGGTCTTTGTCCCTCTATGTGCCCACGGTGCTCCTGCCCTGCAATGTCCTCACAGTCACTGTGACTACGTCTGCCTCCTCCACCCCACCCACCGCCTGTGAGGCTCCAGCTTTCTCCTCTTCCTATGACCTCTCCGTAGCATAGTGAGTGGTGCTTAAATGTTTGGGGAGGAAGGAAGGAAGGAAGATCTCTTTTCTCACATTAGCTCAGGACAATAGCAAAACTCCCATTTAGTGACACTTCAGTTCCTTTGACCTTAGTGTGCTTTTGGTTCACCAATCAACAATGACTTCTGCAGTGGGAATTTTCTTTTTTCTTTCCCAACCCCAGGCAAAATGAGCAGGTGATTCTGGGACCAGGAAACTATTTGGACACTGCAAGTGATTGTGGCCTTCTTTTCAATTCTCTCTCTCTTACCAATCTACAAGTGACTTGTTTATTTGCCTTTTGATGCAAGGCTACATTTCTGTTTGTGCCTGGGCTATGCATGTGCCTGAGGTCAGAGAGGTTAAGAGCTTGTGCAAGGCGTGCATACATACACCCACACAGACTCCTGGGAGAGTGTTTTTCAGGGATAACTAGATCTCCCAGAAAATACCCTCAGGTGGGAGGCAGGAGCTGGTGTTGGGCTCCTGGTTTGTCACCCTGGAAAATGAGAATTTGGACTTACTTCTTAGTCTCTTGGCAGCTTAATTCAATATAAGTTTGGGATTTCTAGGTCAAGAGTGAATTCTAAGAATACCTTCCCACTCCCTGTGCTCAATGCTCTTTAGCATGGTTGTTTTGAACAATTCTGTATTAGTTACTGTAATTTCCCTTTTGTTTAATTAACACCATTCCGGTAGGTGGAGAATTGCTCCTAATAGAAGTAATTATTGTACAGATTATCACAAAGGCTTAAGGAAGGTGACAGAAGGTAGTGACATGATGGTGATGGGGTCAATAGTCCAGGTTTTGTTCTAACCAGACTGGGGTTTTTGCCAAATACTGGAGATACCTGAAGCATGTGGTAAGCCAGACTAGTAAAGCAACTGTCCCTTCCTTAGGTTTGGACTTCTGAAGCTCTCTGATATTAAGAGCTCTTGTAATCACTGTTAATCAATAGAATGCTGTAGGATGCAATTAGGATTAATTAGGCCAGTGTCCGAAGTGTGCTCTGTGTCTCCTTGGGTGTCTCCCCTTCTGGGCTCCTGCTTCCCCTGAAAAGGAAGGGTTCCTGGCCTGTATCCCCAGCCTGGGGTCTCCTCTCTTCTCTTCCTGAACCAAGCCCCCTCCCACACTTACTCATAATAGAGAGAGGGGGAGCCAAAAAAGGGCATGAAGTGATTGTGGGAAAGGAAGAAAGACAAAACAATCAAAATCCTGTGGAAAAAAGGCAGGTTGGGTGAGAAACTATGGTGAAAGATGGAGATTTTTATTGCCTTACAAGAGAAAGCTGCAGCACGTGGACAGAACCACTCAGAAGACATTCTGTCTACTCTTCCTACCAAGCAAAGGGTAAACTCTCCTGCTCATCCCTTTCCCATGCAGTATATGGAGTCTTTTTCATGTTTTTGTATTAACTAAAATGTGTCTATATATCCCACACATTCATCTTTTTGCAATGACAAAAACAGTTCCCCCGGTTCTGTAGGGAAAGGGAATGGTCTCAGCACTCAGCAATGGAAGGGTCCCAGCCCAAGGATGAGGAGACCTGCCCCCACTCCAGTCTGGGACTCTGGTGGAATTGCTTCCCCTGTCTAGATCCCACTGTCCTTGTCTGTAAAATGATAAGCGTGGACTTGAGGCCTTGCATTACCTCTTCTAATCTGATTTCTCCCCCTAATGAAATGGATGGGCTGTTAGACTGCTATGCCCGGACACTTCTGTTCCCTTCCATTTTCCTCTTCTTGCCAGAGTAAGTCTTACCTTTGTAAGTTCCTCTCCATTCTGCACACATTATGAGTTTCAGCATTTCTGTTACCCTAGAAAGTCTTTATTTCTGAGATTGTGCACTGTTTCCCTTTTTATAGCATATCATAAACTCCCTTTGGATTCTTTCATTCCCATCATCCTGGTCAAAATGCTTCTCCCCTTGGTTCAGAGGGCTGTGTGTGTGTGGTGGCGGTGGGGTGGGTTGTGCTTCTCTGGGGCTCTTACTGTCTCCTTTCCTCTGCTTTATCTGGGATTTCCTTTACCTAGAATTTTGTTATGTAAAATGCTTCACTCTAATTCTTCAATTTCCGGCATGCTCTAGAAAGCCCTTTAATGTTTCCCTTCTTCCAACTTATCTATTTTTATTTCACAGCTGTCTTTGTTTCTCTCTTAAAATCTCACTTCTCGGGTTTAATGTTTAGATCCTTTGTCTATCCTTCCGTCTTTCGTTTTTCTTAGGTCATCTTTTTTTTTTACTACCTTTTTCGTTCAGCAGAGGGCTCTCCTCCCCTCCCTCTTGCAGCCCAGGCAGATAGGATTTGAAGCTTGCCTTCTCTGTCTTTACCTCCTGCTTTCTTACAGAAACGCTAGATACTTAAACTTGTAAACAGTTCTGCCCGGCTGGGTGCGATCGCTCTAAACCGTCCCCGCTCAGCCACTCCACCGCCTCCCGGAACCGCTAATTTCTTGGATGCCCTTCCACCGTTCCTGCTGTTATATTCCTCGCTGTAGCCCCTTACTTGTTCTTCAAATCGTTCTGGAGGGTAGGTATTTATAAACCCAAGTTTACAACTGAGAAACTGAGGCTCGGAGAGGTTCACCCAAGGTCGTGCAGATTGTAAAATTAACCCTAATCCAGCTTGTTCTGGCTTCCCCAGTCCAGCCCAGCAGACTCACCTCACTCCCTCCGATTGCAGTTTATACCAGATTTCCCCTGTTTTGTATGTGGTTCTTTTCCTCTTCAAGTCCACAGGCAGGAAGACCGTCCCTAGCTAGCTAATAGGGCTGGGGGATTTGGGAGGCGGGGGAAGGGATCCTTCCCTCAGGCCCCAAGGATTGGCGTGTTCAGGGTTCGGGTGGGCTGACGCCCCGGGAGGAAGTAGGTTGGAGACTGGGGCTACCAAGGACGGTAAGGCAGGATGTGGCAAATGGTGCTCAGGGAACCTGGGTCACTACACTCGAATGCCGACGGCGGAGGAGGTCTTTTGCCCACCCTCCGGGCAACACACACTTGCCAAGCCAGGGGCGGGAGTCGCGCCGAGCCGGGGGACGTGGAGCTGCAGCGCGCCCCCTTGCGCTTCTGCGCGCGCCTCGAGGCTGACGGGTGAAGCGCCCGCCGCGGCAGGGCCGCTCCAACCCCCTCCTCCTTTTCGATCCCGCTCCCCTCCTTCCCTCCCCTTGCTCCCAGCCCCTCCCCTGCCGCCCCTCCCTCCCTCCTTCGGTTCCCCCGGTCTCCTCCCAGCTCTCACCCGCGCGCCGGGTCGGGAGCTAGTTGGAGCGCGGGGGCTGCTGCCAGAGCCCAGCTCCGCGGAGCCGGGCGGGTCGGCCGCGCGTCCGGCGGCTGCTGGAGGAGCCCCCAAGCGCTGCGGGCGCCGACCCGGGTCTGGACTGCACGCGAGCGCCGAGCCGAGGGCCAGGGACCGTTACTGCGCGGCCGCCCCATTCCCAGACGGGCCGTCAGCCCTCCTGGTTCGCCTCTGCCGCTCTTCGTCGCCGGGAGCCACCGGGAACCGGGCACCTGCGCCCGCAGCCCGGAGGTGAGTCCCGGGAGCCCCGGGTGCTTCCCCCGCGCGAGCTGGGGCTGCAAGTTGCAAACTTCAGCAACTTGAGGGGTGGGGAGAGTGGTAGGGCTCGGGGCCGCTGACAAGTTGGAACCGGGTGGGAGAGGCTGCTAGCGGGAGGAGAGGGGGTACCCTGGGCTTCCGCGCTGCCCGATGCCCACCTCGGCTTGGGCACCTCCCCGCTCTCGCGTTCCCGCCGCCCGCCTGATCCGGGTTGGTGCTGCACCGGGCCCTCTTCCAGCCTGGGTCGGCGCATCTGCTGCAGCCGCGATGGGACCCGGGGTCCTGGGCTGGAGGAGGAGTCGGGCGAATGAAAGAAAGCTGGCAGAGGCGTTGAGATTGGTGCCGAGATGGAGGCTCGGGGAGCCAACGAGTAAACCCGGCCGGCGGCGAGGCGCGTGGGAACGCGTGGCCCGCCCGGAGTGTGAAATCTCGCGCTCACCGACCTCCCCGCCCCGCCGCCGCCCGCGGGGTCACCACCTGGGTTCTTCCCAGAACCCCTACCCTGACCGGGCCCCGCGCCGCTCAAACTCTGCCCCGCCAGGCGCCAGACACCGCGGCCCGGGAGCCCCGCGCTTCCCCTCGCCCACCGACAGGAGTGCGGCGGCGGGAACCGGGGACGCGAACCGCGATTTCCTGATTTATTTTTCTCATGGTAATTTGTCTTTGTGGTTGGGGCTGCCCATTCACTTTCCGCTCACGTCGTGCGGGAGATCCAGCGCGGAGGGAGGGAGCGGGTGCGCTCGGGCACTGGGAGGGCTGGAGAGGGTCGAGGGGCTCCCGGGCCCGAGAGGGAAGCGGGCGCAGGACCCGCCGAGGCAGAGGGCGAGGCTGCGGCGTCCGGGCCGAGCGGAACCGCGGGCTGGCGGCGGGAGGAGGACGGAGCCGGCTCCTTTGCCTGCCGCAAACTTTAAACAACGACGAGCCACCTGAAGCGCCCTTCTTGCCGCCTCCCCATCCCGTGGTGCCCATTCCTCGATCATTCCTCCCAACGCACCGCGCCGGGCACCACTGGGCCCCGAGTTTGGATGTGGGGATCGACCGCCGGTCTCTGCCCCCACCCTGCGAACCTCTCCCGGCTTTCGGTGGTGGGGATGAGCGCAGCGGGAGCGGGGAAGGGCCTCCGCGCGCCTTCCCTTCCCTTCCCTGGGGCTGAGCCAACCGAACTGGCATTGGGGGGTTGGAAGTGTGCCTGTGTCTAGACCCGACTAGGATCCTGTCTTCTTTGGCCCTAACCCGCATAATTTTCCTCCTATCCTCTAGCGAATCCCCTCTCCGTGCACATTCCTCAGGCACCCCCTTCCCCCACTCCCACTTGGGCCTCATTCCGCTCCTCCGGCAGCGGCTCCTCTCTCCCGCGCCCTGCATGCTCGCCTCTCCGTCCTCCCCACCCCCACATTCCCATCTTTTAATCTGCCTTTTCCATTCTTTCTCCTCACATAGTGCCCCCCACCAACCTCCCCGTCCACATTTCTTCTTCTTTTTTTCCCCCCATTTCGTCTTGACATTCAAAAGTGGCCTTTCACCTTTTCTGAGCCGGGGTAGATGACCTTGAAGAAGGGGCAGAGGGGAATTTGAGCCTGAGAACTGGCCCTCACAACTGGGGAAAAGGGGGCAGGCTAAGGGGAACACCACCAGTACCCTGTCCCAAATCCAGATTCCCATCTCAGGAGAAAGGGGGATAAAATATCAAGAGAGCGAGGGAGTTTGCCACTTGGTCAGTCAGGAGGGCACTGAGAACTGTTTTGGGAGATCAGCGCAGCAGGAAGGGCTGCTTCTGGCTGTGCCACGTTGGAAAAGGTGGGTGGGGTGGCCGGGGTGGGAGTTCGTTGGGGGAGGAAGGTTGGCTGCTTCCTTCCACTTATCAACAGCTACAACTCCCTTCAGGAGATGGCAGATCTTCCATCCCATTTTTCTTTTCTGGGAGTTAGTGCCAGAGTCTTCCTCCCCCTGAGCTGACATTATCATCACTGCGTGCGTCAAACACTTTTTAAACACCTGCTGTGTGCAATGCACCAGGCTAGGTGCTGGTAGATAAAAAGCCCTACAGGGCTGAGCCCATGCTCCCAGAGGCTGCTAATTCATCAGTGTGAGCCAAAGGTACTGTGTTTGGGGAGGGAGAGCGTGAATTGAGAAATGCACAGTACAGGGCAATACAAGACAACCAGGGCTTAGTGCCAAATAGTGACCTGGGGCTTAGGAGAGGACTAGTTGAACAAAGTTGATGACTCAGGGGAGACTGAGAGCTGAACTTGCTGACTGACCCCCCCTTCCTACCAGCTGTCTGCATAGGGAGGGTGGGACAGGAGAAGGAACGCTCCCTTGCCACTTCTCCTATAGCTTGACCCAAAAGTCAGAGAAGCTGAGAGATCCTGTCTGGCCACCCTCCAGCTAGGATTAGCAATCAGCAGCTTTCCTGTCTTGGGGTAGCCTTCCTGGATTGTTTGGAAACCTCTCTATTAGTTACTTTTTACTGAGACTTAAAGCTGAAAGAGGGCTCAGAGACTGTCAGTGTTAGGGGACTCAAACTCAAATGTGTACAGAGGGCCAGCAAGTAACAGTATGGTGATCAGACAATAAGAATGGCTGGACAACTGGGTGTTCAGAGTCCCATTGGCCAAATAAACAAAACCAATGTGCAGCCCTTGAGCATTCTCAGCCCCTGTGTTTACAGACCAAGAAATTAAGATATTAATAAATTATCTCATCTTGTTGTGTGTACATGTTATCATGTCTTCCCATACCTTGGGGGATTGATTGCAACACTCCAAAACTTGGTCCTACTTCTGACCTCCTGATCACCAGCTCACCTTCATCCTCAGGGTCCACTGGGGTTCCTCTGTAAGATGATGACTTCCTTAAAGTTAGGAAACCATCTTGTCTTATATAAATCTGAGTGCTTCACATCCATTGATACTGGGTTCCTGATGCAGAGTAAAGACTGGAAATCAGGTCTCCTGCCCTCCCATCCTCCAACCCCACCCATGCAGGAATCCAGTAAGCATAAACCAATTTTGTTCTTTACCTAAAAGAGAAAAATTCCTATGTGACATTTTGCTCCCTCTAATGTAGTAAAACCTTATTCACAGGTTGGATGAAAAAGGACTGGAAGCTCACATAGGATGTTCGGGTATCCCAAGGAATATCCAGAAAGCCCTGAGCCCTGAGTGTAGGTCTAAAAAGGGGAAGAGGGGCCCCAGACAGGGAGCAGGAGGATAGCAGACATAGAGAGGATCAGCTTGGGAAAGCTGAAAGTTGGTAGAAGGAGTGTGTACACTTGGGGAAAAGAATGCTGTTGGGTCCGTTGTTTTGAACATTGACTGTGACATTCCTGTTCTTAATCTTGGTCACCCTCCTGTATCCCACTGGGAAAGTTAACAAGATAACAGCTCAGATCACTACCATCCAATCAACAAATGCACTATTTTCATTGAGGATTAAAGTGGTAGAATGGACACAGGACAAAGGGCAAAATTCCTGATTAGAAGTGCATATTACTTTGTTATCTAGCCTTAAAGGACCCAGGGCTGAGCTCCAGTCCCCCACCATCCATACCCCAGCAGCCAGATGCTCCCCACAGTCCTCACGTGTTAGCTTTGTTGTTGCCTGGGTGCAAGGTGAATGAGACCAACAGGACAGTGAACTCATGTGTTCCTTATTTAGTAAGCACCTACTGTGTGCTAGGCATTGTGCCAGAAACTATGGATACAACAGTAAAGAAGACATGTCTCTGATCTCCCTGGATGAAGTGAAATCAGCATGACTAGAACACAATTACTAGCATCACCCCAACTGCTGTGATGGTATTTCCTGTGAGTTTTTTTTTCCCTGTGAGTTTGGGTGACCTGCCACAGCTAATATGGAGTTGTCCAAAGGACTTGGGGTCCAGGGTTTTAGGGGGAAGGGCTGAGAAGGCTAGGATTCCACCACCTTAGTGTTCTTTCAGTTTCAAGATTCCTTTTCATGCCTCAGATTCCTCACTCATCAAGTGGGGCTGGATACCTACCTACCTGTATCTGTGGTGTGGATAGAGGCAAAGCCAGGTACCTGAAGATCTGGGGATAAGAACTATTGGGAGGGAATATTGGTTATATACTTGGGGGTCTGAAACCCAGTGGGTCCTGGAACTACTCTTTGCCTCATCCAGTCACCTTGTCTGTCTTCATCAAATGATGAGTGTGTATGTGTGTGTGTGTGTGTGTGTGTGTGTGTTGGAAATAGTTACCTCAAATGAATGAGTTTTCTTTCATTTAGATCTTCGTATTTGAGTTAGCCATCATGAAATTGGTCTTGAATTTATGACTAAGCTTAACTAACATGTTCTTAAATGTATGACGGGAGGCCAAAGCAAGCATCTTGACTAATGGAGTTTCTTTGAATTGACCCAAGTGAGCCCTTCTTTCACAGCTGTGTGGGCAGCACTGATCACACTGGCATAGTGCTATACTTTTGTGAACCTCCCCCTCCCTGACTTTTGGTTTGATGACCTCTGCCTTAGCTGAGGAGATGGCTCTGATGGGTAATTTGGAAGGGGATCTTTGTGTATGCCATTCCCTGCCTTGGAGGGATCTCCTCCAAGGCTTCCTTTCTGAAAAACATGTCCCTTATGACCAGCTCCAATGTTAGAAAGTGGCAGGGAGAAGTTCCAGCTGGGAGCAGAGTTCTGAAAGAGAAAGGGGCGTGCTGAATATTCTCTCTCTGCGATGTCACTTTCCCTCCTTTCTGCTCTAGTGTTTTGCTTTAGTGAGCATGAGGGATGAAAACCAAGCCTTGCAGAATGCACTCTTTCATCTTGACGTTAGTCAGGGGCTTACCAATGAGACATGACTACACATGGTAGCTTCAGAGTGGAAAAGGAAGATGGTTTCCTGTGCAATTTGCTGCTGGGCACGTGGGGAGAGCAGGGGAGATGACTGGGAGGGAGACTGGGCCCGGGAGAGTTTGACCTTGAGCACACTTCCCAACAGTTGGGCTGC